TCTCCTTGTGTATTCTCTTACCAAAAATTGGATAACATGAAGAATAATCATTGGTGATTAAAGCCGTTCTTTTGTACAGGCGTGGTCTGGTGTACTGTCATGGAACATTAGGAAGACTACTTTCTCTCACCTGTCTGGTTTTCCACTGGCAATCTTCCACACAAGACACTGGGGATCATTAGCATAAAAATAAAGAAACAGGGCAAAATGTTCACAATGATCGATTTCATCTCGAATGTGAGCAAGGGTACAAAGAAACTACACCGACACTGAATTTAGAGGAGAAAGGTCTGTGAGTTTGTGAGAGAATGGGACAAATGTATAATGCACTTATAGCAAGCAATGTTTCTTAGGAATTTCGCTATCGTATTGACGATTGTCCAATCGCCTAATAGGGTAATATACATATTCATGAATTTTTCATCCTACTACTTCATTGCTCGAAAACTAAAATGGATTTTAAAAGTGGGGTTCACTAGAGCGAAAAATATTGTTTGAGAGGCTCTTCAAAATTCAAGATGATGACTATCATAATTAAGATTAGGTATTTTTGTTAGAATTGCATTTGGAACATGATGGACTAGGAAAACTGTTATTACAAGGAAAATTGCTATTACATTTCCAGGAAAATGGACTTTTAAGCGAGTTTGTCATAAAGACTTTCAATTTGGTGGAATTATTGGAATTTTTCACGTGTATGCCACTGTCAAGACGTTATTGGACTGAGTTTCGTTGTTGATGACTTAACTGAGCCAAAAAAGTAATTAACTGAGAATTTCGACGATTCTAACCATTTTGTCCCATCACGCTGTGTTATCTTATTAACCGATAAAATCGCACAAGGCGGGAGAAGTATATTTGATTCTTAACTGAGCAATAATGGAATTTCTGATCAGCGAAACATTTTCATATGAGCTAAAAGAGAAGTTTCCATTTTCCACCACAGATTTTGCCTAATTTGTCCGGCTTTATCCTTTCGAATATTACACAGAATTAGAATATACGAAACCAAAAGATTAAAGCCAGCTGAACGAAGATAAATCGGGTATAGGGTTTTGCTTTCAGTTCCTTGATGGAGCTTGAAATATATATTTTTTCTATTTCAACTCGGGTTTAAACTCTGGCAGGTTTTACACAAATCGCCTTAATATTTATTTTTTTACTAGTTTAAGTCTACCTCTTATACCATTTTGTATTGTGCTGGATTACTAGAGGAAAGTTAAACAAAGAACGCGTCCATGTCAACTGTCAACCAGCCTGTTTAAAACTTGCTAATTGCAAGAGAGTTTTCACGAAATCTTCTCCGATTAGATAGAGTATACGTGTAGTCCAAAGTTGTGTAAGAAGGTCCGATGGGAATNACTACTTTCTCTCACCTGTCTGGTTTTCCACTGGCAATCTTCCACACAAGACACTGGGTATCATTAGCATCAAAATAAAGAGGCAGGGCAAAATGTTCACCATGATCGATTTCATCTCAAATGTGAGCAAGGGTACAAAGAAACTACACCAACACTGAATTTAGAGGAGAAAGGTCTGTGAGCTTGTAAGAGAATGGGACAAATGTATAATGCACTTATAGCAAGTAATGTTTCTTAGGAATTTCGCTACTGTATTGACGATTGTCCAATCGCCTGATAGGGTAATATATATATTCATGAATTTTTCATCCTACTACTTCATTGCTCGAAAACTAAAATGGATTTTAAACGTGGAGTTCACTAGAGCGAAAAATATTGTTTGAGAGGCTCTTCAAAATTCAAGATGATGAATATCATAATTTAAATTAGGTATTTTTGTTAGAATTGCATTTGGAACATGATGGACTAAGAAAACTGTCATTACAAGGAAAATTGCTATTACATTTCCAGGAAAATGGACTTTTTAGCGAGTTTGTCATAAAGGCTTTCAATTTGGTGGAATTATTGGAAATTTTCACGTGTAAGCCACTGTCAAGACGTTATTGGACTGAGTTTCGTTGTTGATGACTTAACTAAGCCAAAAAAGTAATTAACTGAGAATTTCGACGATTCTAACCATTTCGTCCCATCACGCTGTGTTATGTTATTAACTGATAAAATCGCACAAGGTGGGAGAAGTATATTTGATTCTCAACCGAGCAATAATGGAATTTCTGATCAGCGAAACATTTTCATATGGGCTAAAAGAGAAGTTTCCATTTTCCGCCACAGATTTTGCCTAATTTGTCCGGCTTTATCCTCTTGAATATTACACAGAATTATACGAAACCAAAAGATTAAAGCCAGCTGAACGAAGATAAATCGGGTATAGGGTTTTGCTTTCAGTGGCTTGATGGAGCTTGAAATATATTTTTTGTCTATTTCAACTCGGGTTTAAACTCTGGCAGGTTTTACACAAATTCCCTTAATATTTATTTTTTTACTAGTTTAAGTCTACCTCTTATACCATTTTGTATTGTGCTGGATTACCAGAGGAAAGTTAAACAAAGAACGTATCCATGTCAACTGTCAACCCGCCTGTTTAAAACTTACTAATTGCAAGAGAGTTTTCACGAAATCTTCTCCGATTAGATAGAGTATACGTGTAGTCCAAAGTTGTGTAAGAAGGTCCGATGGGAATGCATTTGACAGCCGGCAATATGACCATAGGATGTTTACTCCTGTAACAGTTTTCAAATAAAAATTCGCTTTGACATAGTTGGAAGTGGAGCAAGAATGTGTTTGGAATTTGGACTTGTTGACAAAAATTATGGTTGGATGCTAAACAAAAGAAGAAAACAAATTTCGAATGAGTAATTATAAATTCATTTGTCAGGTTTGTGGACATTTAAGGAACAATGCGACCACAAACTGTATTTGAAGTTCAATTAAGGGGAAAAGAATATTTTTATGTAGTTAGACTTTTGAGGGAAAGTGGAATAAATTGCTGGTGAGAAAGTCCATTCCCTGTCCGTTGTGGGTTAGTAACTTCAAATTTGCTTTCCAGAGGTTCGTGTTACCTCCAAGACGAAAACCAAGATTGCCTCAAGATTAAGTGCCCAGTCCACACTACCCTGCAGAAATTTGTAAACGGTGTTTTCACTCTGAAAGCGCATCAAATGTTTTCCGTCCACACTACGCCGGAGAAATTTGGAAACGCAACATTAGCGGTTCACTTGATTTGGATCTGTGTTTGATAAACACTTTGGCAGGAAAATTACATCATTGTCTTGGCTTCATCGTTTTCGAAAAACTCCGTTTTCAAAACGTTTTTCGTCCACACGAAAAAGAAAAGTAGGCTTTTTCAAATTCCTCCTGTTTGATCAACGTATTGGTAAAGTTCCGTTTGCGTGACGGATTAGAGTGGACGGTAGGCTTAACCGTAGAAATAAAACTGCGATTTCAAATTTGTCCGGCGTAGTGTGGACGGGGCCTTAAAGCGTATAAACAAAACCAGTCTATAACTATAAAAACGACAATAAAAATGTCAGAGTTTTTAACGCAGATATCAGCAAGGTCGAGATCAGGACTCAATTTTAAATGTCAACATAATGTATATAAGTAGCCGGTTACATTTTTCTAGAAAATAAGAAACTTTTATGTCACCCACTTAATATACCTATCTCTGTAAGGTAATCGGAATGGGATGTCCGATGGACGGAAACTTAATTTGTTATATCAGAAGAAACAAAGCTCAGACTAACAAGCAGTCATGTTAAAGACTTCTCTCTTAATAGCAAATGGGAACAGGTTAATTTTTATCGACTCAAATCAAAAGAAAAGAAAGACCTTGCAAGCTATAAGATTAGAAGCCTAGGTGGAATTTCCAAGGAACTTTTGAAAATGTTTCTTTTCTTTAAATCTTTTATGTATAGTGGATTTGGCCCGCGTACTCGTTTAGTGAGGGAAAATTTTGATTTAGTTTAGGAAGTTATCCCTTATAATTAAAGGTATCTACGTGATGAGGAATTCATTCGTTTGACGTACCAAATACTAAGAGGTAGAATTGATTTAGAAGATTTAAAGTAACCAGTTGATAGAGACTGATAAAATACTCATTTCTATCCAGATAAACAACTTCATCTACGCAATTAAGGTTACCAATTAACGGGTAACAACCAAACACGTGCTGTGACAATATGCTATGACAATGGTACTTCCCTACCACTTGCAGACGTCACATCTCGGACTCAATTGCCAGAATCACTTCCTCCGAGAAGCCACTTCGATTGCACATTTCTTGTTAAGATAACCTGCTTGGACTGTCAGTTTTGCAAGATTATACGTTTCTTCACTCTTCAATTCCGCTGTTGCAGGCTCTTAGAAACCACCCACTAATTTCTCGTCAAAAATAATTTTGCTTGAAACTCTGGAAGCTGAAAGACTTGACAAGGGTTAAAATACAACCCAGTTGTAACCCAGTTGAAAATTCTCGTCTTTACAGCCGAGAAATGTAGTTCTTTCTTGGCAAAAATGTCTTGATCTTGCATGTACATGCGTGAAAGAAAACCTCGATTCAGTTTAGGGAGTCATCCCTTATAAAACTATCGTGAGCCACCGCCCAACGGTAACCGAGAGGCAATCAGTTCAACCAAGAAACTATGACCTAAGATAACACTTCTCCCATACATGGCCTCTTCCAATGCTGTTCTTTTTCAATCTAATTTTAGCGCGTGGTCGTACTACAAAGTAGAGCTTTTTTTAAAGCTAGGATTTAAAGTTAGTAGTTGATAGAGACTGATAAAATTCTCATTTCTACCCAGATGAACAACTTCATTTACGCGAAAGCGAATTAAGGTTACCAATTAACGGAAAACAACCAAACACTTGCTGTGACAATCTGCTATGATGAAAATGGTACCTATCCTGCTATCTCGGACACAATTGCTAGAATCAGTTCCTCCGAGAAGCCACTTCAACTGCATATGTCTTGTTAAGATAACCTGCTTGGACTGCCAGTTTTAAAAGGTCATTTTTACTATCCTCCGCCGTAGACATGGCTTGTAAGAGGCTCTAACAGACAACCCACTAATTTCGCGTCAAAAATAATTTTGCTTGAAACTCTGGCAACTGAAAGACTTGACAAGTAATAAATAAAAACAGATTTTGGTTTGATAAGTAATGTTTTTCCAGTCACGTTGGCAACCATTAAATATTTTGCCCTTCCCGACGTCTCAAAAAACATAAACTTGGCATTTTACGTGGCTTCGTTAAATATTTGATTTGCATTATCTGGCAATGGATCTTTCGTTAATGTGTGCATGAACCTTTCTAGTTTTCCAGGAGAATAAAAGTAATAATAATTTAAGTGGCAAGACAGACAAACCGATGTTACTAAACACTATTAATCGCTGTCAAACGATGGCCGGAAATGGCCTTCCTTTTTTTAATTATCAGTAAAATGAATGTCAGTCTGTCATTGCAATTTTTAGCCCTCACCTCAGATCGTAGCCTTTAATAAAAACAAATCTTGCATTCTGTTTAGTAGTTAAGAAATGGACTCGCCATATATGCTACGTGCAGGAACAATGGGACCGCTATTTAAGGCCATGACATCTTAGAAAAGCTGAACGTTTCCATAACTGTGGGAGATAATGTGTGTGCTTATCCTGTTTGTTGCTATTTTCAGGATTTCAACGTGTCTTTCTCTGCGTTACCTGCATAAGCCGAGATGATGGAAACGAATTGGAGTTGAATCAGTGGAAAATTGGTTAGGTGGTGACACAGTGAGTCATGATCAGTAGAAGTTACGCGCCCGCATTTTATATGCCCGTGGACGAGAAAATCACACTTTGAAATATAAGATTTTTTTGCCATATTACATTACTGAATAAATTGATCTTGTAAAAACAAATTCGTAATAATTTGTGTATTGGCCGTTCTATTTTTTTANAGAGAGTAACCCGCTACATTTTAGTTATCAGTAAAATGAAAGTCAGCTTATTTTAAGGCTATTGCAAGTTTTAGCCCTCATCTCAGTTCTTAGCCTTTACTAAAAACAAATCTTGCATTCTGTTTAGTTGTCGAGAAATGGACTCGTCATATGCTGCGTGCAGGAACAATGGGACCGCTATTGAAGGCAGTGACATCTTAGAAAAGCTGAACGTTTCCAGAACTGTGGGGGAAAATGTTGGTGTGCTTTTCCTGTTTGTTGCTATTTTCAGGATTTTAACGTATCTTTCTCTGCGTTACCTGCATAAGCCGAAATGATGGAAACGAATTGGAGTTGAATCAGAGGAAAATGTGTCAGGCTGTAACACAATGAGTAAGGATCATCAGATGTCACGCGCCCGCATTTTATATGACAGTGGACGAGAAAATCACACTTTGAAATATAAGATTTTTTTGCCATATTACATTACTGAATAAATTGATCTTGTAAAAACAAATTCGTAATAATTTGTGTATTGGCCGTTCTATTTTTTTAAACATACTTTTAAAGCGTGTGCCTGAATTGAACCATCGAGGCATTTTCACAGTGAATGTAATTATATTTTCTGGTACTGTACACAACTTGAGTTATCCTGAATTTCCCAGACCAACACAGAGTAGTGTTCCGCAAAATGCATTAAATCACATTATTTTATGGTTTGTGTTTGTAGCCGATATAACGCGCGTTCTGATTGGCCAATTGTAGGGCATTATTTCGACTCCCGTAATGCCCACGGGCCGATACGGGAGAATAAACCAAAGTAAAAAGCCATATAATAAGCAACTTAATATATAGATTTGACCAAGCTTAAAAGCGGAGCTCCTGATTACAATAATTAACCATAAATGAAAAGAGGATTTTTTCCCCTGGATCAGAAAGGCAAAAAATGACCAATTTTGAGCATGTGATTGTTCAGCGTGTGATTTCACTATTTTTTACTCGTTAAAACATTAATTTTAACAAACCATACCTAATGAGTGTACCCAAGATTGTAGAAATTACGTACGCAATAAATCAGGGACTTTCCAAGAGACGATTGTGCAAGAAATGTGTCGGAAGAAAAGTCAGCAACGCATCAGGGCGGTTTAAGTTGCGCCGAAATTTTGCCTTTGCCTGTACTGTCTCCCTCTCCTCAAGAGTAATAACCTGGCTTGAGCCCGGGATCCAACCTAAGCCCGCGATATGGTCACGTAATACTGGTCAGTGAATACCTTGTTTTGACAGCTATCAATTAATCATAACATGGATGTCCAATATTAAAGAAGTAGGTAGAGGCTCCGCTATTAACCCTCGAAAGTTCGGTCTTTACAGGAAAATCTCAAACCTCGGCCTTGCCGTATTGACCGAGCGATAGTAAAGATTTCACTCTCGGTTAATAATTAGCTCTTATTAACCGAACAGGAGGTCTGTATGGGAGAATCTTTACCAAGGTCGTGGGTACAGACCGAACGCAGTGAGGTCTGTACGCACGACCGAGGTCATGATTCTCCCATACAGACCGACTAAGCTCGGTTAATAAGATGCTTATTATATGGCAAACAAGAACAATTTTAAATTCTTTTAATGTAACTGGTTTTTATTAACTGACATTGTGCTTATACTCTCATCACCCTGAAACGATTATAAAATATTTTGTAACTAATCTTAATAAACACGAACACAGCATCAGGGGTGGGCATCTCGTTTATTGATGCCCGCTTTCGAAAATAAAGAAAGAGAACAAAGAAAACTAAGTATGCAAACTCGACACTGAGAGTAAAGATTCTAAATTATCCTTAATATAGCCGTCCTTGGCTCGATCAGTCTTCCATCTGCCGTGACGTTTGAAGAGTCGATCACTGACGCCTGCGTTAGCGGCT